GGGGGACCAAGCGTCTTCTTCCCCTCCTCCCCTCCGACCCCGCCACCCTCCCGCCGACCCCGGCCCCGCGCCTGGGGGTGGTCCTTCCTCCGCCGTCCGGTGTCACTGTCCCTCCGGTGGGTCTCTCCGTTGCCGCCGCCGCCGGCGCCCCGCCGGGCTCAGCTCCGAGCCGGCGGCCGCTGCCGCTTCCTGCACCGCGGATCCGGTCCCTGCAGGGCCCGCGCTCCTCACGGAGGGCGGCCTGTATTTATTATTAATTAATTATTATTAATTATTATTATTACACGGTCTACGCAGTTTTTAGGCATCTCCGTTAGGGTTTTCTAATTTTATTTTACAAGGCACAAACTATAGCTCTTAGTTGAATGTCGCCAGGTATGCTTTCTCTTTTTCCGTGTCTTTCTACAACTGTGTTCTGTGACTCAACTGTATAGTGTTAATATCAGTACAGACTTGTCTAGTTGACCGTATAAATAATGTTTTCCCTTCTCGTAGTCTCTATGGCGTGTCTTTATGGAGAAATAAGGTTCTCACGGGTTCGGTTCCCTTTGCGTTTAGAGAGACCAGGTTCAGGCAATTATATATATTTTTATTATTGGTTGCATGTCGTCTCATTTTTTCTTTCTTTTCCCTACCTGTTGGAATATGTTTGTGAGCATAATGGTCATAAATTATGTTCAGGGTTTCCAGATTTATTTATATGTGGTTAAAATGAATGCTTCTATTTAAAAGGGGAAATATTTCTACATGTGCATATAGTTTTCCAAGAGTGTACCATTAATTGATTGTTGATAATAAAAGCCAAAAGCAAACATAGCTACGGTGCTCTTCTGACTTCTTATTAGGGCTTTATTTGGGGGGAGGTCTCGGGGTTATTTCTGTGAGATCCAAGGCACATGTCGCAGAACCTGAACTGTGTCATCAAGAGAAGATTTGCTCAGTAGCATCAGGAAGACCATAACTGCCCGTCCCATCATTACAATAATTAATAAAGGCACAATTATTGTGCCCTTATTAATTATTTGCAAACAGACTGACTGGGGGGAGAAGATGTGTCAGATTTGACCTTTTGTCACTACCTCGGAAACTGGAGATGGACAATATTAAGCGATATCCGTTAAAAGCCAAAAAATCAGGGCAAAACCCCCAGGCCCGCTTTGCCAGCGGGCGCAGCATCCCGCAGAGAGCCTTCGCCACCCTTAGAGCAGCATTCTGCTGAATCCCTCTGCCGACAGCGAGGGCAGGGAGCGGGCCGGCCGCGGGCTGGGCTCCAGCCGGGCCAGGAACCGCACAGCGGGACTGGGCTGCGCTTAGCGCCCGGCCCGGCCCGGCCCAGCCCGGCCCGGCACGGCACGGCACGGCCCGGCACGGCGGGGGCACGGCACGGCACGGCCCGGCACGGCGGGGCCGATGCGCCGGGGCCCCGCGGGGCACGGGGCGGCTGAGCACACCCGGCGCTGCCGGGTCGAGCAGGCGACCCGTTCCGTCGGAAACCCCCAGGCAAGGGCAGGTTCTCTCCCCGAGGAGAGCCGGGCTCGCCGCTCATCTCGGCGCCCCTGCCAGGGCGGCTGCTGAAGCCGGGCACTCGCGGGTTCGCTGCGAGGGCGTCGGGGCGATGAACTCTGTCTGACTCCGGCACAGTCCGTGGAAAAAAAAAAAAAAGGGAAAAATATGTCTGTCGGTTTGGCAGAGAAGCAAACTTTGAAACTTTGCAAGGGCCTTGTCATCTGCAGCGTGCAACATCTGCATGGCTGGGGGGCTGGGGAGAGCGCGATTAAAAATGTGGCAAATGGAGCAAATGCTGTTTCGCTAATAAAGTGCTTGAAACATCAGGTTTAAAGTGCTACAATAAAATATGCAGTGCATTTTCTGGAGGAAAACAACTTGAATGCATTTTTTAAATATATGTTTTGTTTTATTGTGGGCAGAATCTGCCATTTTATTTTTTCTTCCAGAAGTGATTCCACGATCTAAGAATATCTTTGTTAAAAGTAAATGGACTGCCTAGGAATTAACCAGCTGTGGACTGCCGAGCAGTTCTGCTAATAGTGATCTACATGTAAAGGTTTTCCTGCTGGAGAAGCTGCAGTGCTCAATCTGCCTTACCATGGCTGAATCAACCCCTGAGCTTTTAGAGAAGGTCAGACCTGTATTTCCAGTAAGGCAACCAACCAGCCAAGGGCGATTTAAAGATATCTCTCCTGGACAGGCTTTGCTGTGGGAAGATGATGAGGTTAGATTTTATGGCTTACAGTTGTGCTTTGAAATCATCAAGGGATGACAACACATTACTATTTTTTGGCCAAGTTCACTATTTTTTCTGCTAAAACTTGGGCTTTAATTTCTAATACAGAAGCTTCAGCTTCCTACAGTGGACATAGCTGTCTATCTGCTAGACCTCTCTTTTCTCACACTGTAAAATGGTTTGCATTTTGATCTGTCTTCTTCCTGGTAAGTTAAACAGACTATGTTCTTTACATCTTCCACAATCCCTAAGGCTCAAACTTCTATGAATTTTCCAGACATGGAACCACTCTCTCCTGTTTCTGAAGATGCCTTGGAGAAGGGATACTTGGATAGTACCAAACAGTACAGTGTCTCTGCAATAATGGTTCACACAGAGCTAAGATCACCTCTGTATTTCTGATCACAATTTTCCAGTTAGGTATTTAAACTTATCATTAGTCCTTTTTGGAGACTTCTGTCACTGACACATAGGTCTTTTCCCAAGCCACTGCTGTCCATATTCTGGTCACCCCCACAGCCAGGGGAACCATGAGGTCTATGACACTCCTCATTTCTAAGGACCAGTGGGCCTGTGGCAGATAAGTTGGAATGGTTAATTCATCAACCTTCATGATTGCTCAGTCAGGTAGAAATGGATAGTTTGAAAATATACAAAGTTTACTTCTCCTACCTGTCTGAAAAGGCAGGAGCTTGAAAAAGGAGTTAAATAAAGAACCTAAGGATTGCTGCTAGAGGAAGGCCATGGGGTACCCAGCAGGAGCCCAGGCAGAAGGAGGATGCCAAAAGGCTGCTTACCAGTGACACCAGTGAGAGCTGAACAGGCAAGATGACCCTTAACACTAAGATACTCTCTGGGGCTCACAAAGCAAGGAAGTCTGGACAAAAGGACCTAAGAAGCCAAAAGATGCTCCAGAAAAGAAATGAATGTAGGGGGTTTTATTTTCCTCGGGTTTACCCCTTCACATTGTTCAAATAAATGATAATTCATTATACAATCCAGCTCAAATTCAATACAATCATATTGCATTTTGAAGAGTTCGGAGGTAAATTCACATTGTGTGTTTGGAACAATTTGAGTGTTTTATTGTTTGCTCTTCTAAATACCAAGAGTTAGAATTCAGGTCTAGTGTTGAATTTGGCTCTTGCACACACTCTCACTTCCTTCTCTCCAATACCTAAACAGAAAAATTAATTCCTGATTGCAGTAGGAATCTCTTTGATGGATGCATGACAATGCAAACATTAATTTTGCTACTAAGGAATATGAGGCCAGCATACAGGAAAACTACATTTAGTAAAAACAATGCCTTTCAATGATAAGTAAATGTGTCTAAATTGTTTAATCTTTCTATATTTGCACTTATTTAATATAGTTATCAAATTGTTAGCAACCAATGGGAAAAGTATTTATCATGATTAGTGCCAGTGGTCCACCAGAATATATTCTTAAATACTCTTTTCCTCCCACCTTTTTTTTGACACTGTTGAAGTGCACCTGGCAGGAATCCCCTGAATGAGCCTGACCCCAGCCAAGGCTGTCAGCTTACTGCTGTGGTCTGAAGCAGGAGCTCTTTCTGAAGTCAAAATCTGGAGTTTCTTAACATGGAAACATCCTCACTGTAGAGAGGGGCAATGGGACACAAAACTCACTGTTAATTCCTAGACACCTATAAAAGTGGTACCTATCAGTACCTCTCAATGCACATTTAGCGTGAATCATTAAGAGTCAAAAAACATTAATGTATAGATTACCCTCATTATCAGTAAATCAGATCAGCACTATGAAGGCTATGTATCAATGGGAGATGAAACTTTCTATTTATGCCACCAGTTTAATTTGTTCTTTTCCAAGCTATCACCCAACAACTGCTATGAAATAAACTGGTGGCTTCAACTGGAGTGCTATTAAAATTTGAAAATTAAATATTTTAAATCTGATTATTTTCATCTTAGAAAAACACCTTTGTCCCTTGTGCTTCACACAACATGTAGGCCAAGGAATGATTTGAGACGAAAACCATTTTCTTGATTTGTGGGAAATTAATCCAGAAACAACTCAAGAAATTTTAGCCATGAAAATAAAGCTCATGCTTTATTTTTAGGATGATTTATGTGTTAGGATGAAAATTTCCTTTGGAGAGAGGAAATACTCTTTTGGGTTGATCCTTGTCATGACTATCATATCAACAGGAAACAAAAACATTTGTACTTAAAAAGAAGTATTATTTCACACCAGTATGACAGGCTAAGGCCTATTTATTCCCATTTTTTTCTGAAAGAGAGGCAGTAAGGGAATTCCAGTGGCATCTCTTGCTGCTTCACAGATTGCTTAAATTGCGTTTGAAGTCTATCAGCAGTATTAGACAGAAGTTCAAGTGGTCTTGGGAAGTACAAGTGAGAAAAACTCTGTCTTTCCAGCATCTGAAATCCGATGTCAGCACTGAGGCCTCTATCATCAGGCTTAACACATGGATGGAGTCTTCAGAAGCATTCACTTCAGTATTGTTTCACAGAAAGATGTCTATAGAAATAGAATCAATATATTGATTTCCCCTAAGAGGAAAGCCTATCTGGGGAACAGAGCCCATATTTTATGAATTTCTGTGGTTATTCATCACAGAAAAGAAGTGGAGGTTGTGAAACCTGTGGCTAAGAGAACTGGTCATCTGGCATGGACAT